AGCACCGGCGGACAAACTGTTTGAATAAATTCTTTGCAGTGAAAGCAAAATGATCCACGGCCTGCACACAAGTCAGTGAGCTCCGACTCTCTCTCCGTCCCTGCAGCCCGGTCAAGTGCAGTTCCTATCTGGGCTGAAAGTGCGAGGCCATGAGTTGGGTGTAGGTTCCCCTGCAGTTCTGAGATAATATATTCAGCTCAGCCTGGCTTAATCTGTCTCGATGTACAAATTGAAGAACGCGAGTTCAGTGGGAAACACTGGGGTCGTTGTTTCAAATAAATACTAAATACATTGATCAATGCATGTCAGAGGCAACTGTTTACTGTGTGGTTTTGCAGATTAAGATGAAAATTGCACACACACATAAATCAGTCCTCTGATCCACAGATTTTCAATATCCATGAATTATTCTCTGGTAAACATGTTCTTTCTTGGCCCGTGAAGTCCCATCCCAAGTTTCAAGCAAATCCACCCTGTTGTTTTTGAGTAATCCTGCCGACAAACGTATAAACAAACCAACACACAAACAGACGGGTGAAAACAGAACTTCCTCAGCAGAGGTTATTATAATCCAATAAGCTAATAACACTAAGAAGACAGACTGCATAATGAGTATTTTTACTTTTGATGCCAGCAAACCCGCACCAAGACAGACAGTCCCTGGAAAATGCACTTTCATCCTGGTTCAGTAAAAAACACTACTGAGCCCACTAAACTTGATTTACAAAACAAAAAGGTCATATTAAATATTAGTAAATTGTTTTGACACATTAAAAGCACAGAACCTGGCGGCTTGAGGCCTATGCTGCATGTTCGTATCATATCAGAATAATTATGACTTGTAAACAACATTTTTGTTTCTTAAAGCTCTGATGTCTGGCTTTGAACTTGGAAACATGCGAATACCTGAAGACCAAGCGAACATGAAAGCATCATGTCATCATTTAATTGGATTGTTTCACGTCCTCTCTCTCTCTCTCTCTCTCCCTCACTTTTAGAGGTTTCGACCCATTTTTTCTCTCCACAGTGGAGAACTGGTCTCAACCTTACAGTGTAAATTGCATTAATTAATTAAAATAACACTTTATTAGTCCCACAACAGCAACATTTGCAAAAGCTATTCTTGGAGGATGTGGGCAACTTTTAGTCTTGACAGGACCAACCCTGAGCTGTGACATTAGGGACTCACGAGTCCTTTAGATGGAAAACATTTTGACACAGTGACTGAGTCCAACCTGAGCAAACAGATCAGATTAACAGATTATAGCAACGGGCAGGAAGGGGAAGTCGGTAATTACTGTTTTTCAGTCTTTTCATAGGATTTTTGAAAATACAAAAAAAAACAAATACTATCAGTCGTGTCAGTTATTTACATGTTACTGTTGTTTCCATTCTCATGAGTAAAACTTCGTATGTATGTTTATTACCTCAACCAAGGAGGTCATGTTTTAATCTGTTTGTTATTTAGCAGGATTAAACAATAACTACTGGACAGATTACCACGACTGTAACCTCTTTATGAGTGTGAGTCATTTGGTGCAGATTGACCAACTGTTGGGTCTTGACAGAGGTTTGTGCTTTACGCTGCCATTCTAGTTTTTCTGCTGCTTTTACTCACTATTTCCTTTCGCGCCCTTCAAAACTCAGATTTCCTCTGTGTGTATTCTTGAACCATATTGTTGGAACAAATATTACAGCTGCTGTGATATGAACAATAAATCCTTGAACGTCTTGTCGTTGAAAACACTTCATAAATGGCGTGAACACTTCTGCATGTTCTCACCTTGATCATATGTTGGAGCACAGGTAGAAAATACTGAATCCAGGTGTTTATAATCAGCAAAGTAACTATTGAGCTTATTCATTAATGTTTCACCACTCTCCGGGTGTGCGTGAGCGTGTGGCTGCATCAGCGAGACGGGGGTGTTCATCTCACTAAAGATAGAGTTCTTAGTGCTTGAGGGGGAATCAGTAGACAACACCACTGATGAGAAGATACTTGTGTGTGTGTGTGTGTGTGGGTGTGTGCACTTCACAGCGGTCAGAGGCTGAGTGCTCACACCACCTAGTGGCATTAAATTACCTTTTTTACCTTCAGAGGAAACAGCAGGAGGATGAAAAAAACCACACAAAATCCTAATTGCAGCTGTGGACTAACCAGGCAATCTTTCCATTCACAACAAACAAGTGTGCGACAGAAGAACAGATGCAGTCACGTGGAGCTAAAAGGTCATTTCTGCTGGAGTAAAGCTCAAAAACATTACAGTAGCCAGGTGTTGCACAGGGGAGAGGTAAGACTGCAGGGACAAATGAGGGGAGCCAGGGAAAAAAAAGAACATACAGCCAGAGACGGAGCGAGATGAAAGCATGGATGCTGGGGAAGCTGTAGGAATGCAGCTGTATTTCTCCGCCTAAGGCTGTGCAGCTTCACTGAGAGGCTGCTGATTGACAGGTGGGGAACGTTAATCCCCCTGTGCTCCGCATCCGTTTCGCCCTCACACTCCCTTCTCGGTGGAGGACACCCTATCAATCTCATTAACCTATGGAAATGCTGGTTTTCACCTGCTTGTATTTACTCTCATCTACCCCCCTGCCACTGATCATCAAGAACTGCAAGATCTGCCATGTATAATGTATAGGAGTGCATGAGAGGCATAGGTGTCTGTCATGTACAAGACTGCTACTGTTTGGAATTTAAACCTGCACCACCGCCCGTGTCTCCTCACACGTTTATATGTTGGGCAACAAAACACAATCAGACGTTATTTGTGCACGCTACAGTAATTGTGATGCCACGTCCTTTAAATGCATGACGACAAATGCAAAAGGCTGCATTAGGCTCCACCTGTTGTGTCAAACTCGACACAGCTGCCGCGTGGAATCCCGTTTTGACTGATAGTATTTCACCACATTCCCCAGTATCCCCGAGCCATTTGTTAGGTTGACTCTGGGATACCAACCGCAACAAAAATCTTTTGTTTCCATTATGCGCAAGTCAGTCAAGCTGAGGAGCCGTGTCAAAAAACTGCCACCGCTGAGTGCCGTTAAATACACCAGCCACGCTTTGGACTTTCACTTCACCTCAGCTAGTTTGTCATGGATAAAAACTGTGCACGTAAACACACACACACAAGCCAAGGGCACGTCCGAGACAAGCAAGAATACAAGGTTATGAATTCAGTTGCTGCTAGACGCACAAATACCAAAAGGAAAATAAAGGTAATTTCAGTTTGGTAGTGTTCACCTCCCATAGCTCTGAATGAGTAACAAAACACTCTGGAAATGAAAGAAAGGATTCCTGGTGTTCCAAACAATTCAAGGAAGAAAACACAGGGAGTATATTGAAAGTAGCAACTTCTTTTTCATTTTGAGATACAACTATTTACATTTAACCAAAGACAAAGGTCCTTGAAACAGTACAAACTATTTTTTTTTCTCATCCTGCGATTTTTGTTTTTCCAAATGACAACTCAGAAATATTGTATAAAATAAAAATATCAGCTCCAGGGAAAAAAGTAGTCCAAGCATTTTTAAATGTCCATTAACCACTATGTACAGTCGTATTTACATTCAGACCAGAATTTGCAAAGTAATAAACAGGTACACAGTTGTGTTCACTGTAGCCCTACAAACCAGAGAAACCTAATCTGCTTACACAGGTATGGCTGTCATTCAAATCAGTGATCGTACATGGGAGCAGTACAAGACGGAGGCATTTCAGAAAGGTTCAGGTGCATCACAGGTAAAATGACAACACATGAGAATAAATAAGTGGGAGCTTAATGTGTGTCTTCTTAATGCAGACACATGATGATACAATGCGATTAAAAAACATCAAGCTAAATGTGGCTGGACCGAAATTTTTAACCATCATGTACATGATGTACACGAGTGCAAATTTTCCCATTTCATAAAAGCAACAAGATTTAGTTGAAATTTCATGTTTCAAATAAATCTGTTTTGTTTCCAACCACTGAGCTGTGTCACATGGGGTAAAATTATAATAACAACATGAATGTTTAGACATGAATGGCATTTCACAAGGTAAATTTCAATTTA